TACGATCGTTTAAAATTATCAAGAGGATTTAAACCTCTGGCCTTGAGGCACCAGCAAACCGATAAAATACTATGGCAAGCGGCCTGCTTCTAATAACTCCTTCCTCTCTCTTGCTTGGCAAAAGCCACAACTTAAGTACTTGGCGTTAGCAAGACAAATTTGCATAAATAAGTTAAAAGCTTTTAATTCTGGCCGGAAGTAGAAAATAAGAAGTGATAGTAAAGATTTAAAATAAAATAAACGTTAGTAAAACTTAGGATCCTTACAGTTTTAAATATTTTGCTGTCTCCCTTTTCTTTAATGGTGTAAATATCATTTTAATAAATGGAAGTTTATGAAAATTGAGCCTAAAATGAGTAATCATACAAATTTAACTAATAAATGTTGTTTAAATACAGATCATCAATCATGGGCAGATTTAAAAAGCCATGCCACTCTGAGAATTAAAGGGGTAAAAAAAATCTTTTTAGTTTCAGAGCATTTCAAATAGAAAACTTGAAACTGTACATAATTTTTTCAACTTTTATGAAATTTAGTACAATTAATTTATACTAGAAAAGCAGACTATAAATGCAGATTACTACTGAATATCATAAGCTACCTAAAAGATCATGTATGATATGTCCAGCCACAGTTGTTGAAAGAAAGCAGTTGAATAACACATCAGTGCACATAACAGTAACTAATCATTAATTATTAGCCTATAATTTAACCATTGTGCTCGAATATCTTTCCCATTAACTTGATTTAGGCTCCAGGGACTTTTTATTGCATTTAAATATCAAAATGGAGTTGCAGAGGCATCATTTTATAAATGTGAAAAATGCCAATCAAAACTACTTATCAGTTCAAGGACCCCTTAGAAACAGACCTGAATAATAATGAAATTTTTCATTTACTTTTTGGGCCCACCAGCGGCCGAGCGGTAGAGTCACTGAACAGTGGTAGTTCGGTCCGAGGTTCGAATCCCGCGAACGGGCTGGCTGCATGGGCGTTTTCGTGGTTTTCCCCATGTGTAACGTGTATACGAGCCAGTTTCCCTTAGAAAGTCCTCCACGAAAGGCATCCCTCCCCTTAGGCAGATAGCCCTAGTGTGCTTTGCCATAATTAAATACACCAACACCATTTACTTTTTGTGTGAACTTTGTGAACAGATGATATATGAGTTATTAAACGAAGCAGATTGTCTTTAAGACAACAATCTATGATTCTAGATGATTATGGTTTTCTGGGCAGACAGCTGTTTTTCTGGGCAGACAGCCTTCTTATAAAAGATGATTAATAATGGTGATTATTGATTAACATGAATTTACCTTAATCAAGGCTCTTGGTATTTTTAAAGGAAAATACACTACAGAAAGGGGTAATTTATTAATACCATTACATAGGATGGCTCATGGAAAAGTAGCCCACTTCAGGATATACAGAGAGTGTTCACACTTTTTTGTAACAATTTTGATTTTTTCCATGAATTTAAATATTAATTTTTAAATACAAACATGACTCGCATACAATTGGAATAAGGTTTAATTATCGTCTGCAGTATTAAAAATATTCTTTTCTTCAAAATGTTGCTGAAAAATGAATTGAAGGCTATATTTTTGCGCTGTCCAAAGAGAAATACTATTCAATTATTAAAAAAAGATGTGAAAAGCATGGTTTTAATATTTGCACATGTAAAATAAGTAACATAATTAATATGAAAGGAAAGAAATGTCAAAGTTTACATCTGATTATGAAAAGGACAAAAAATGCAAACTTGACAAAGGTACGTACAGCACTTAGTAAATCTAAAGTAATGTTTTAAAGGGAAATCTAGCCCGCTCCAAAGAGCTACAGCAAAGTTTTTAAATATTTATGTAGGAACTGTGAATAAAATTATAAAATCTAATTTAAAACTAACCAAAACCAAATAACAACAACAACAAATGATGTTCATCGCCTAATGCCAAAACATGTTTCTCAGCGTAAGTTATGTGCAGATTGCTCTATGAAAATTATTTGGCAGGTGAAAATGGAAACATATAATTACAGTTTATGAGGCTTGGATATACTTATTTGATTATCTGATTGCAATAGAAAAAGATTGATTTACTACTGAAAAAGAGGAGAAAAAAATATGTTGGTTCAGAGGAACCAAGGAAAGTTTTTCTTAAGGTTTTATGGTTATCACTGGATTCCCTTGTTATGAAAAACTTAAAATAAGAAAGTAGAAAAAAGTGTCAAAATTAATTCGGATTAGTATCAGAAATATGCTTTAAAACCCATTTTTATAGAAGAAATTATATTTCTTTATCTAAACAATCTTTACTCTTAAGATACAATAACATGCCGAACAAATATTAATTTAGAAGTCAAACAATAAAAATCAGCAAACTGTGAAAATTTGAAAATATAATGCTGATTTTTGTTGCTTGACTCCTAAATTAATCTTTACTGTGTTAAGTTTCATCAGGATAAGGCTCCAAGCCATACCTCTAAATCTACTGCTCTATTTTTTGAAAAAATGAGTAAATCAAACAGGAATTGAAGCTATTCCCTTTAAAAGCATCCCACCGAAGTCCTCTGATGTGTTTCCTATAGATTACTGAGCATCTGAACTTTTAAAACTAGCTCTTTATTAGCAAAAACCCAAAACATTGGATGGATTCTGGAAGAATGGGAAGGAAAAGTGGAATAAAAATCAACCTTGATGTTTTAAGGACTTTTATCTTAGAAATCAAGATGTAATATGATAATTCAAAAAACAAAAAAGGCCTATGAAATCGAATATATTTGAAAAAAAAAAGGGGGGGGGGAAGAAATACGAAAAAAAATTAAGATTTGTTTATATACAAATCTTTGCAAAATCATTACAAAAATGTGCGAACACCCTTTGTAAGATAATATAGACACCATCTTTATCACACTATGTGCACAGTGCACAGAAGGAACAGAAATGCAAAATAAAGATGGGAGATTGCTTTATTTGACAACATTAAGTTAATGAATAGATGGACAATAAGCAGACAGACAGCATGAGGTTATGGGTTTCTTCAACAAGTGTGGCACAAGTACTGAAAATAAGCTACTTTTCATGGGCAACCATGTATTAATAAAATCATTAATTAAAACATAAGTTTAAAATAAAGTAAAGAATAAACTTTTAAATTTTTTGAAATATTCACAATTCACAGATGAGAAATCTGTGGAAAATTAAAATACATTACAAAGAGTTACAATATAAATCTTACTTAGTAACTTTAGTAATTTCTGATTATCTGCATCGACTGAAAAGTCAAGAAAAATATTCGTGAGGCAACATATGTTGTCAAAATAGTTGTGTGGCTAGCCACACAACTATGTTATTAAAATGTATTTATGTGGCACCCTAGATATGCATGTATCATGACTTCCCCCCCCCTCATTTCGTACTTTTGAAATTCAATTACCATTTTTCTGAGTAGTGTTTCTTTTCAGACAGAGTATATTTTTTCCATTCTAAGGAATCGTAATGGGAGTACTGAGTATGCTGGCTGACGAAAAAGAAAGGAAGCATTGCATTTCTCCAGAAATATCTTATAATACAGAATACAAAACTTCTCAATTTGTGAACTTATACTTCTTAAGCAATCAAATTTTATGGAAATACAAAGAGAAATATTGCAAGCAAAGTGTTAGAAAGATCAGAATTTGGTTGGAAGATAAATATACCATGTTTAGAAACCCCCCCTTTTTTTTTTTTTTTATTTTTTAGCAAAGCAGGTTGCATGGTGAGAAAAATTACACACAGATTTCTTGGAAAAGGTAAATGATTTATTATCGATTTTTCTTTTTAAATTTGATTGACTAATTGCTCTTTTATGGGATTATTGGTGTGCTGCCAATTTGAAAATGGCTCTTGCTTTTACACATTACTTTGTCAAAAAATTAATTGCCAACAAGTTCACAACTGCTATCCGAAATCGCCAAGGAATTTCCTGCTTTTCAGTAGGTGTGAAGATTATCAGAAAGTACCAACTCTTAACACTTATGTATTAACACAATTATCTTAAAAATCACCAAATTTTTGGAATGTGCCAAACTCAAGCAACCATGTGCATAATCATTCTTCAAGCAATCACAATCATAACAGACCTTCATTGAAACATGATCCTATTTGCCCTACCCTTTTTATTCATTTCCAAGTTCAATGTCTTTTATAGACCAATTGTGATTTTTGGGGGGTATGAATCTTAGAATATTCACATGTGGAATTTGCCAGCAGTGCAAAATGCTACAGTAAAAATCCTGCACGAATACAATATTTTGCCATAAAATAATTTAAGAAAACAATGATGAAATGTGTTTAGTAGGTATGTAGTACAAAATTTGCAGGTTGTGCACAATAACAAGTTTGCTTGTTATTGTGCACAACCTGATGTTTTTTTAAGCAAAAACAGATTACTGTGTACATTAGAAGAACAGCATAAAAAAATTACAAAAGGATGTGGAAAAAATATTTAAAGTATCATACAATTTTTATTTTAAATTTCTAAATTCTGTTTTCTTTTGATTAGTTAATAGTGTTTACTGGCTTATTGAAAGCTTTTATTTTTTTTAAAGCTGCAAAATATGCTGACTTGCATGTAAAAAGTAACTTTTACCTTTTCATCTGAAAAAATTACCAAACTGCACCAAGTGGTTGCATTAATATGCAAGTGCATAACTTTTGGTTAAAAAGAAACATTATAAGAAATACTGCCATTTATTTTGCCAGTGTAAATTTTCTGAAGAATATAACTTCATTTGCTTACATTCAAGACAGGGTGGATTACATGGTCACAGGTTATCAGAATTCTATTATAATTAAATTTTATTTTAAATACAAAATTAATTTTCTTCTCTATCCATCTAACCAAAGGAATTAAGATATTACTGAAGATAAAGTATCATCCTTAATTCAAAATGAAGCTAAATTTCTTCCTCAAATATTTTTAACTTAAATACTTTAAAAACAAAAAAATCAAAATAAAGGTTACCCTGCTGAAAATCTGTTCTGCCACAGCCTCTGTAAAGTAAGGCATCCCCTGTAAATGCCATCTTTGCTTCGTGACAAACATAAGTTACACAACCTGAAAATCGGGCACAAAAAAATTTTCAAATCTTTCATAATAGATATTCCAGTTTTTATATAATAAAATAATGATGTGATTTAACAGCTAAACATAAAAAATTTATATAAATAACTACTGATAAAAAATTATATGTAGAAACTGTTAAGAATTCTAATTTCACATTAAATACTCAAAATCAAGTGAACTCCCTCTTACAGCATCAGAGTGATAAAAGTCATGAAATTCACTATTATGTGGAAAGGTGTATGGTACATACATGTTTTATAATTTATGAAATGGCAATACCTGTCAATGGTAAATTCTTGATTCTTTTTCTTCTTGTTGGCAGTTTCCATGTTAAGTAAAAACTCAAAAATGTTAAAAAAGGCAATAAAATAGATAAAAGGTTTTATGCTGAAGGGTATATAATAACAATTATTATCCAAATGGGGAATGCTAGTTTCTGAAACAATACCTAGAGCTAAAAGGTACATGAGAAGAAGAGTGCACTGAACGGCTAATTAACTGAGGTAATAACAGGCATGATGCTGCTCAAAGCTTCCAGTGTTCAAACCCACTGTTTAGCTCAAGGCAGTTAAAAAAAAAAACTTAAGACAAATAATTCATAATCACAGTTAATAGAAAAATACCATTATCAATTTACCTATAATTTCAAGTAATTTAACATCTTCCAAGTACATTCCTTTGTTTGCATATATTAAATCAGTATTATAAACTAACACATTGTAAATAATGGAAGAATAACATTCATTAAAAATGAATAAGCCAAGTTATAAATGACATGGGTGATTCAGTCATGTGAGGCAAGCACCAGGACATAGTCTGATCCTGAGTGCAACAATGTGGATACATTATAGCAATTACGATGGCTAGCATGAAGATGGTAAAGACTCTAGAGTTATAAAGAGGAAAACACTAAGACAGATCGGTGAATGGATGCTAGGTCATTAATGATGGAGAGTTCCGAGCAGTGATGTCAGGAGCAAAAGCTTCCTATTGGTTGTGTAAGGGGAATTAATCATAATAATACTCTGGATTAGCAGGTAACTTAGCTTGGTCAGATTAATTTCAGAGCCATATAAATTTTTTAAAAATAATAAAATGAAAAAAAAAAAAAGCTGAATTATAAAACAAATGAGGAAAGGAAAATATACCAGAGTGCATTAGAAGAATAAATGATAAATGCAGTGATAAAAATAGCCAAAAGTTGAAGTTAATTGCAAAAACTTTCAGATTTTATATTATGCTCAAAGGGAATTTGTTTTTTTAATGTTTGTGTGTTACCTTTATTTATTAAATACCATGTTCTTCGCACATAAACCATAAAATTTATTTCAACAGCAATATCACAAAATAATTTTAAAAAATAATTTAAAAAGAGCATATCTTCAGAATTTCTGATACACAGCCTCTCACGCTAGAGATAAAAAAAAATTTTTCCGTAATGTTGCCATAGCTCGCTTTGAAATCACCAAGTTTGTTAATAAAAAGATTCATTAAATGTCTATAAAATATGAAATAGACAATCAAACAAATTTCAAATTAGGGCTTCCAGATGCTCATATTCGGGTAGAGGATTATGTTATTCAAAATTTGATGGCTCTAGATACCATTGTTTTATCACAATACAAGAAACAGAGATACATTTATACAGTTTCTTCCTTATTCAATTTCTTTAAATTTAATACAGGGCTCTAACATTTGGTGGCAATAATTTGAAATTGATAAGCCATATATAGTGATTCAACATAAAATGGCAAAACGAAATTAATAGCCCTTCTGTGCTAATAAAAATTCTAATAAATGAGACTCTAACTGCTGAGCTATCGGCCTACAATCAGGTGTTTAAACCATCAAGCTAACATTTACAATATCAAAGGGCAGTATAAAATAACATTAAGATGAGTTGCTTACAGTTATTCATTGGCGTTATGTTAACATCTAAAATAATTTTGAGAAAAGGTGTAAATTTTGTCAATAATGCTATCACAAGCCCAAACTTTGATTGTATATTTTTTTAATGTATTGTTTATAGCAGTCAATTTGTTTTTATCGAAGATATTATTTACTTCCATGATGTTCTACCCTTAGCTAGTGGATCTGCTATTGATTTTATTACTGGCAGCTTTATGTGTTATTTGCATTGGTGTAATTTTCATTAGAAAGTTAAAGTAACAGTAATTGGTGCTGTGATTATTTATAACATTACTACTTTGCATTGATTTTTTAATATTTGTGAGTAGGTTATGATGAGTTTGATGGTGCTATCTTTAATTTTGTTGCTTTTGAGCAGGAAACCACAACAGGAAGCATGGTGTCTGTGTTACTGCAATTAATGCTTTTGGGTTGTTCAGTTTCTCCCTTGTCAGGGAAGTCAATAGTTTGGGGTGAAAAGGCACATTTAACACATCTAGATTTGAAAAAACAATTAAAAGTTGAGTTATGCCATATTTGGAAATAGTAGTATTGCGGGACTAAGTTTTTTGTGACACATGTTTCAACCAAAACTGAGAATAGCATTAGATATGAAATTTCATAAATTTTGAGAATCATATAGTTTGGGATAACATATATCAGAAAAGGGGCATTGGCGCTTTTGTTTTCCTTCGTGTTAGTTGTAATACATTTTAGATGAATAATCCTCCTCTGATAAGCGAAGCTGCAATTTTAGTTTTGTTGATAGTTATAGGTAACACACGACTAACTACTTTAATAGTTCTATTATAGATGTAGTGTTCAATGTGTTTTTCTTAAAAGAGAGTACTAAGTGTTCTGTAATATTCTGCATTATTAGGGAGTATCTTGACATATTCCCCATTCAGTTTACCAAGAAATTTAGCTGTCATTGATCAAGAAAATTGACCAAGGAAATCCTTGAAAGATAACTGTCCAGGATTAACCATAATTGAGTTTTCTGTAGCCCATGGCTGTGGCCGAGTTTGAATTTCTAGTGAAGTATCATTATTTTCAACATTTTCTGTACTGTTATTTAGGACAACGAATTGATACGGCAGTATTAATGACTGTAAATTTTTCTATTTTAGGATGTTAACTGTTTGGTAGGCTACATGAAACCTTCAGAATCAACATTCAGATTTATGCTTGCATCTGGGTTTGAGGTGATAATTTTATGATTACTAATGCATCCAAAGGTATAAAGATTTAACTTATCCCTTATCTGTTTGGCTTTCTTCCGCAGGGTTGCTAGTTGTTGTGCCAACAGATCATTAATGCTTGTGTCATAGTCCAAGACGGACCTTCGTTTCTGTAAGGCGTATAATGTACCCTTGATGTGTTGGTATTCATAGCCCAATTCCTCTAGTTTCTCAAGATAGTACTTTTTAGTACCTTGGTCTAATCCTCCCTCCCCAAAAGTGCTGGCCTCTTCACTGATAGATAGGATTAGTCCGCAATATTTGATTGCTCACCCACACAGAAAGTCATTTTTATATGCAGACGTATCTATCTATGACCTACTCTCATGACAAGAACAAGTGAGTTACAAATGACACTAAAGAACAATATTTACAAGAAAATTTGAATTATGCCATCGAATTCAAACTGGTACAAAGTATTTCCTTAAAATTTTAATTTTTTATAATAAAGTGTTTATATATTCAGGATTATGCTCAATTAAATTACATACTGATTCCTAAATACCATAACATCATCCAGTATCACTGGAACTTTTCTTTTTTATATTTCTTGCAGACGGCATTGTTTCATGTTGATGAAGTTTAAGGTATTAGGATGGTAATTTTAGAATTATTCCACAATTAAAAAGCTTACATTTTTTCAAACAAAGACTGCTTAATATACCTTTGGATAATTGGAAGTTCACTATAATTTAATCAATTTCTAATTGCTTTCAGGTTAACTTATGCTATATGAAACAACTCTGCAGTTAAATTTGTCATCTTTACTTAAAACTGTGTCTAGTAAAACAATATACTATATCTATATTAAATACATGCTACACCTATTTCAAAATAATAAATATAAAAATACTTACCGTCTGTATGGCCTGGGGTGGGTCGTACTTCTAAGCGAATATCACCAATTTCCAACATGTCCCTTGGCTCCAGATATTTATCAGCCTGGGCGCCAGATGCCCGAGATATTACACTTTGACAGTCTGGCAATAGTTTCTTTATCTCTCCAGTGCCTGTGATGTGATCAGCATGCACGTGAGTGTTTGCTGCAAAAACAAGAAAGAGATTAAATTCATAAATTAATAGCATTATAACAATCAGAGCAAAATCACATTAGTAATTATTTTACAAACAAATAAATCACTACAGATAAAAGAGATGAAATTTAGGCACCATATCAGAAAAAAAAGACACTCTTAAATAATGGAATTTTAGCATAAATATGAAAAATAAAGAATTTTATTTTTAAAAATACAAATTTCTACTTAAAAAAAAATAAATAAATAAATAAAAATAAAAAGGTCCTGCAACAATGACAGTTTCCCAAAATCCTTGCCGAACTTATGGCAATCATTCTGATGGAAGTTTGAAGGAACAGAAAACTTTTTATTTAGATGACCAACAAATATAAGCTATGGATACAACTTATAAAATAAATTAAATATGAGCTCCCACTTGCACCAGTCATACTAGATACTAGTGGAAATTTCAAAGAAATAGATTATTTGTTAATTATCTAAATAAATAAAAAAGCAAACTGGCTTATTGAGGATTTACTGAGATTACATAAAACAAAGGTGAAGATTTACTGAGATTACATAAAACAAAGGTGAAGATCTTATAAATGAGTTGCAATGTCAGGATTATCAATAGCTAACACTAAATAGCACTAATTTGGTGCCAATTTTTGCTTGCTAAAATGGTTGATGGGAAAATATGTAAGTCATATTCACATTTGTTTTCACAAATATGGGTGATGGTAAAATCCAATTTCTTGAAAGAATACAGCAGCTTAATTTACACTTTGTGGTAAATTGGAAATAGTGATTGATTATTTTGAGTTTAAAAAAAAAAAAAAAAAAAAAAAGATTTTTTTTTAGAAATTTTTTAAAAAATCACATATTTGGTTTTATTATTTCTTTCAGTGATAAAATTTTTTAAACATGGTAATTAATTACTGATTGCCAGTAAAACTGAAATATACTTCCGATTTTCCTGAAAATCCATATCCTACTAAAAGAAATTAGCAGATAAATTGGGAAAATATCATTTGGTGAAGTTTGTTCTATAGCAGAAAAGGTATCAATAATCCTATACACAACATATAATTTCTTTGCCTTAGTGTTTATCGATTGGGTATTTATTGAATACCATACATATGTTATTTCACTAAAAGAAATTTTTTTAAATCTATAGACCACAAGTGAAAGACTAAAGACTCATAGATCTTTCCTTTCGACTGTATATGATCTTTATGATACTTACGATATTCCTACAGCCAATAGTCAGGTTTTTCTCACAGGAGTAGAATCCCATTTTAAATTTAAATAAGCTTTAAAAGCATCTTGATCGAATGTTAAAAAACACCTTTCCACATCAAATGAGTTAAAAAATGCTGCTCTGGCTACTATATATTACAGATACCCTCCAGACAAATAGCTTCTTGTTTACACACATGGGTTCAGCAGTAAATGCAATAAAAAAATGCCAGTGCTGGAGCCTATCCAAGTAATTTTAGTATTAGATATTCTGTTGGGAAGTACTGTGACAACATTGATAGAGAGATGGCAGCTGTAGCATATGCAAACGATAAATTTAAAAATAGCCTAGATCATATGTTTCTCAGTGATTCACAAGCTGCTACTTTTGCCACTTACCAATTCTAATGCCCAGGTTCATTCTTACAAAATGAAACTTTTTGAGCTAAGGGAAAACAGAGAGAGCATTACCCTTCAAGTGGATTCCGAGCCATTGTGATATTTGTGGAAATGAGCAGACAGATAGATTGCCAAGGATGGATCTCTTATGGCCCAACCTGATTTCCCTTTGCATAATATTAAAAGAATTACATACAATAAAATGAAAAATAATAGAATATACTTATATGTTAATGCAGCAGTGAATAAGAAGTGGAATATCCTGCTCAGGAAATGAAATAAAATCCCCAGTTCTTTACCTTGGACAGATGGAGTTGTTTGCTTTCGTTTGACAACCGGCCATGATTATTTACAGCAGTATTTACATCGGATTGGAGTTAAGGATTCAACTTGCTGTCCTCTGTGTCGTCAGGGTGATATGGATAGTGATTACCTCATTTGCCCTATTATTTTAAAGTTTATTATAGAAAACCATATCACGGCTAATTTTTGCTCTTGCTCTCTCATCATTTTATTGGGCTACTTGTCAACTAATGACAGATATACCACAAATAGGCGTAGGGATAAAAAAAGAAAAAGTTATTTCACTCATATTCATTTAAATTACTTAAACAGCTTTTTAAAACACACATATTAAATTGCACTATCTTCTCAAACCAAAGAAAAAATTTTAAATATGTAGTTAAGTTACCAACGTTACAATGCATGGGATTAATAAAAAAAATGAATCAAGATAATTAGTTTAGAATATGAAATAAAGAGTATGAATTATTTTTAATCTCTGCTACAAAATTAAATATTTTCCTTTCACTCAACTTGCTTCTCCCCTTCCACAATATCAGTAATCGTACATTTCTTTATTTTGTTTTTTAAAAAAAGCAATCCAATAGTAAATTTAAAACTGACCACTGGTATTCTTAAAATTTGCTTTAAACAATTTACTCATATAGTATACCCACCTCTCAAAGAAAAAAAAAAAATTGGCATATTGATTTATAGACTTCTGGTTTATAGTAGCAAAAAACATTGTCTAAATAAAATAAACAGCAAAATAAAAACTGTAATTTGCTTCTTTGAAATTAAAATAGAATATATTACTATATCTATTACAAAACAATTTTTTTGAAAACTAAAAACCAAATATAAATATGCCTAGTATTTTCGAGCATTAAGCTGAAAAAAAAAATATCATTAAAGACAAAATAAGAAATTTAGAACTAGCATTTCACAAAAACCAAAAGTTGAAATTCATAATTAATAAATTTCAAATAATTGCAACAAAGAATTTAAAAAGAGTTAAAACCAAAACAGTTTTAACAAGCTAAACACCATTTCAAAAAATTAATGAAAATTTAAAGAAAAATGAACAAAGAAGAGAAATTCAATCAACTTCAATCTTACTTCATCAGGGGAAAAGAACAGTGAAATCAATTGAATTTTCTCTTCTGCAACAATCCCTGCTTTTCTGTATCCAGAACTAGCCGAACCATTTCAATATATTATAATCATAATAGTTCTATTATAATCTAATCTAGAACTATTCACCCAAAAAATTCTGGCCCTTTCCCAAAGCATGGAAAAAACAAAAGAATTTCTGATTAGTATAATTAGAAAAACCTTAAAAAAAGAACAGAATTCTGTTTTATAAAAAGAGAATTCTATTTTATTAAAATTGAAACCGAAAGTGAAAAAACAAAATACTGCAGTGAAGAATTTTAAATCAAAATGCTTATTTTTAAACAGATAATCCAATGAATTAAGATGTGAGTGAATTTAGTGTAACACTTGAAAAAAATTAATTAGTTACACACAGGAAGTAATAAAGAACTTTGAGCACTCTCATTAGACACTAGTCTTAATTATGAGATGTGAAACAGAAGTGATGTACAGGTGTGCCATTTTGCCACTAAAAAATCTTGGTGAGAAAGTAATCACACAAAAGCTAAAATCTTGTATGAAATATGTAATTTTGAAACCCAAAGTAAAACTTTTAAAGAAAATTTATTTATATTTTTTAGTCAAAGAAAAAATTGCATATTAATTGAATGAAATTTTGACTCTTGTAAAATATTTTTAAAACTTTAATTAAATTTTAAAAATCAATTAATCCTTAAAAAAGTGAAAATGTGGTTAAACAAAATGTGGTTAAATAGTTTTAATAATTGCTTTGTAAAGATTAGTAAGAAATCTATAAAGTTGAATTTTAGTTTTGAAATTTTGTAATTTAAAAGTACAGAAAAAAGTTGAAAAATGAAGTAAAAGAACTATGTTAGAAAAGTAAAAAGTCTTCACATCATGGGCTTTTCATGACGACTTTGAATATATATAAGGCCATGGTCAGTAACAGAATAGTAATTTAAAAAAAAAAAATAATGAATAAAACTATATACCCTTTAAAGCATCCTCCTTTATCCTTCTTTTTTTAGAGCTTTGAAATAAAAAATTCATACCTTTAAAAAGTATTATAGAGTGTAGACTACTTCAGGTTTGTTTAATATACTATTAATGAATTTTAAAGGAATTTCATGATTGTTTTAAAATTTTTGTGAGAATTAGAAATTCTTCTTTTTGTGTTTCTATTTCAGTGTAAACTTGCTTAATTCTACTAATTTGGTTAAAAATAGTACTATTCCCAACAACTTTTTTTACATATGTTTGAATTCCAATTAATAAGTTTATTAGTAGAAAAGTTAAAATCTTTTTGTTCATCAAAAAGTTTAATTTCCTTTACATTATGAATACTTAGATCAAGATAAACTATTTCTGTTTGGATTTTATTGGTCTTGTTTAGTTTTAGACAATTTGGGTAGATGTTGCTGATTTCGATGAAATTAAAATTGTTGAAAGTAATAATGTCATCAATATATCTATAAGTGTGTTCAAATTTACTAAAATCGTTATCAGAAAGGCTTTTAAGAAATTTAAATTCTTTTGAAAATAGAAATAGGTTACAAATATGAGTGGAATAAGAACTTCCCATTGAAAGTCCTTGTGTTTGCAGGTAAAGAAAGTTTGAATATTTAATACAGTTATTGTACAGTGAAAATTGTACAAATTCTTTCTGTTTTTGTAGATACAGAATATTAAGTATTTCAGGAAAAAATTTCTATGAGACTTTCATAGATTTCATGGAGTGGCAGGGTTATGTAGAGGTTTACAAAGTCATAGCAGTTAATATTGTAAATTTTAAGATTTTTTAACTTCTTCAACGATTTTTAAGTTGTCGTAAATAATCCAGCAGAAGCTTTTGTCTTCTTTAACTTGCTCAAAAACTACTTTACAAACAGACTTAAGTAGATTGGTAAAAATATTATCAAAATTCTTCTTGAAGTTTCTAATACTATTAGCCATAAATCTAATTTTACATGATTTTTATGAAATTTTGGTAAGGCATAAAAACTGGCAAATCTGTTATTTGTAGTGAAGAGAAAAATTCCCCATTTTTTGTGAAAGGCAGAAATTTGTTAAAAACAGTTCTTTCTTTATTTTTGCAAATTGGGTAATTCTGGATACAGAAAAGCAGGGATTGTTGTAGAAGAGAGAATTCAATTGATTTCAATGTTCCTTTCCCCAGATGAAGTAAGATTGCAGTTGATTGAATTCCTCTTCTGTTTTTGTTCATTTTTTCTTTAAATTTTCTTTAATTTTTTTAATGGGGTTTTATTTGTTTGAAGTGTTTTGGTTTTAACTTTGTTGTAATTATTTGAAATTCATTAATTATGAATTTCAATTTTTGGTCTTTGTGAAATATTGGCTCTATATTTCTTACTTTATGGCTACTTTATGGCTTTATTACTATATCTATTTATACTATATGCTTTTTTTTTTATATGTCAAGTTCTGCTGTCTAGACGGTATACTGGTTAGCGACGCTGACTGCTATACCAATGGGCTCAGGTTTGAATCCCAGAGAAGGCATGGATGTTTATAAATGTATAGTGTCTGTGCGGTATGGAAGCATTCAAAACAGACAGCAAGCCAAAAGTCCTTTTGAATAGTTTGGTGGCAGGGGAAGAGGGGTTTGAGACCTTTGGACCCATTCCCTAATATTCTTCAAAATTATGGCAGAGCAAAGTTATGCTTTTATATATGTGGTGCTCTAGGCTGATGCCAACAATGTACACGATGTAGCACTCATTGCCATGATAAAATTCACAGGCTTGTTCAGATTAAGTCATACATGTGAGATTAGCTATTACAACAATATGTG